AGTAACTCTCTGCACTGTACCGCAACATTTACTTCTATATATGTGCCAAATTTGGTCCACCTAGGTTAACTAGCAGTGAGATGTCATGTGAACTATAGGCAGTGAGATGTCATGTGAAAGTTACTTCGGTCCTTAAGTTTTGCACACCAGTGTATATGAAACATTGTAAAACATTAGAGGTTCACAAGAAAAATTTCCGTTTGAAAAAATGCGCCACTACTTATGAGACAACCTAATAGAATGCGTGCCGCATCCCAAGACGGGATTGATCAACGGCAAAAGCGTTACCCTTTTTTCTACTCATGGGTTAGAATACACCCTCACCCTCACTCAATTGCACCGGGTGCGGAAAACCGCGTCACACTGGTTACCCAGAGCCGTAACCACGGAGCATTTGTTCTACACTGGGATGAAGAACTTGTTAAGTGGCTGTACATAGGCTCTTTGCAAGGCAGCGAATTCAAGGCTGACATTGAAATCTGTTCCTGTCAGCAAACAGCATAAGTGACGATGATTAATGAGCTGACTATTCCGAAATTTTCCTAATCCTCAGTCGCCGGGGCGTGGTGCTCGAGCCTCGTGAAGAAGGCGCTGTGTAATCCACGGTCACTCTGCTAGTGCCTCCGCTACACTCATGGACGTCGCCGTACTCAGGTAATTAGCTTAAATAATTTAATTACCCTAAATGATCACGAATGCATCTCAATGGTAAGAAAGGATACCTTATAAGGGGCAAGAGAAACCAGGCCCTAATAGGGGATGGAAATGTCTCGACCGCCGTCACAGTGAGAAAGCCGATTAACTCTGATCATAGCCCTTGTATGAGTAGTAGGCGCCGTGCCGGCACGCAGTAAAGGTATGGTCAGCTACAGAGAAGTGCTCCTTGCGCGGATCACAGGCCGACATCTGGCCGACAGGACTCTGGTCTCTGCAACTAATGCGGAAAAAACGCCAGTTGTCCCTGCGAAAACGCCGCTTTTCACAACATTTCCGACCTTTGTTGACAAGCTTTCGGGACACTTTCAGGTACCTACAGCCAGCCAAAGGCAGCCATGACGATGAACAACTGTTTGAGAACCGTATATGGATACCGGACATCGATCTGGGCTATAGGCTTGCCGCAGTGTTGGACGACGGTCTCAACGATGTTCTTGTGGGATTCCGTGATGATCAGGGATTCTTCGAAAAGGTTTTTCTCACCATTGTTCTTTGTTGTCTCGACTATACTTCCGCGAGTTGTAACACACAGCTAAATCGCTCGCTGTGTTCGCCTACAACAACCTGCA